TTTATTTCTTGTTAACTAAATAAACTCTAATAAACAGCGTGTTAAGTTGATTGGATTTAAGTCATAGCTATTGCCTCCCTGACTTCAAATCATAGTTAACTTTCTCGACAAAAAGAGTAACGTTAACAATGTGCAGGTATATCAATGTACGGGTATATCGATCAATTTCCTTTCTGATAATAGACATTTTACAAAAAAAATTTTTCTATTTTTAAATTTCCGTATTCCTAACGCTTTGTGCAACTATAACACTGATTATTTTCTTTTATAGTGATTGCCGTTCTACAAAAAATTTGTTTCCTGTTTTTTTTTGATTTCTGCAGTCCTAGCACTCTGTGTAATCTGTGTAATTCAGATTTCAAAAATGGTAATAATCAGAGGCTCGTATTTTGAAACACGTCATCGGATTAATCAGAAAATCTGGTTTCTATTCAGTCAATCCTGTAATACAAATGGATCAATCTGAATCTGGTCAAATTTAGGATAGATGACTGGATATCCGAATTGATCGGATTTGGAGCATATCTTTAGATATTATTAGACTTTAAAATTTTTAAGAAAATTTTTAGAAAAGGATTGATTATGAAAAATTAATTATATATATAAAAATTAATTTATAAAGAAAGTAATTAATCATATAAACTCAATCAGACAATCACTTAAAATTGAAATATTTATATAAAATTTTAAGCAAATTTTAGCTCTACATAAAGTTAGATGAACCTATACTTGTAAAGTTAATTGCAGATAAACTATAAATAGTAGACTTCTTAGTATAGGTCATGTCTATGAACGGCAGAATATCTGCAAAATATTTTTATGAAATTTTTAGAGAAAAATCAATTTTTAAAAAGAAATTATAACTTTAAATATTACGTGAAATTTTGCTGATCAAATATGATCTTATATTAAATGATTTTTTAATTATGTTAATATTAATAATAATTTCTAATTTGCTTGTCTCTTATATTTATTTGTAATTTTTTTTCTTTTCTTATATTTATATTTTTAAATATATTTTATTAAAAAATATATCTTTTAAAATAAATATTTATTTTGTAATATATTGATGATCACTAAATTAATGTAGAAAGATCTAGAAATTTGATGATTTTCTCTTAAAGTTTAAAAAATTTTGAGAAAAAAATAGTTAGTTATAAATTATACTACACCTCTGAAAATTTTAAATTATGCCAAAAATTGTGAAAGTAATGTATTTTAAATATATAATATATGTATTATTTGATTGATTTTATAATATATATATCGAACAGCTTACCTTTATTATATATATATTATAGTCTTCTTTTTATTACTTATATTATATTATCTAGTTTTCATTATATGTATCATTTATAATTATTAAAAAGCATAGTATAGTATTATTTAGCACTTTTATATAAATAGACCTATAAGTTGACCTTGAGTCAACAGAGTTTTTGCTTAGAAATTGAATTAAGTCTTGGAAATAGACTTAAAAACTCTTTAAGTTAATAAAGTTACTATTTTCAACCTTCTTCTTATTTTTATCATAGGATTAATCATGATAACCTATTACACAAGTGAATTGTGATAATAATTTAATTTATTTATAATCATTAATTTTTCTTAGAAAAGGCCTTTGAAATAATTGTATTATTAAGTTTATTTATTTTGTTAGCTTAGTTTTGAGTCGATTCCAGTTCTAATATCAGTTAAAACAGTAAACATATTAACCAAAATCTTTAGCTGATTAAAATAGTTAATTTTAATTCTGTAAAAAATTCAATTTTGGCTAGAATTAAAATTTAAAATAATCACTAACTTTTATTTTAGTTGTTATTTTTATTTATTAATTATTTCAATTATATTAGCTATATTTGCTATATTTATGATTAGTATTTAAAATTTTATATAAAAATCTCAAAAATCCACCTTGATTAAAGAATAGGATTGATAATCTTAGGAAGAATCCTCTGAAACCTTAGCGTTTAATAACATTTTATCTTTACCTTTCATGCTTCATATATACTTGACTTTAATAACTAACTACACAAAAGAATCGTATTAAGTAAATTTGTTGCCTATGTCTTTCTTAAGGTAGGCCTGAATTCGAATAATATTGTTGTTGGTTAATTTGGTTTCGGTTAAAAATCAGGTTAACACCGGTTATTAACCGGTTAAAGATTCTAAGGCCGGTATTAGTCTGGAATTGAACTGAAATCAAGCTAACAAAAACGATAATAAAATCTAAGTTCTAGAGAGATTTATACAATAATGTAGTTAAGTATCAAGATCAAACCTTTGATAAAGATACGAAGAAGTTTGAAGTTTAAATAAGAATGTAGAGTATAAATTTAATTAGATTTTCAATATTTTTCCGCAGCATGATGTTCATGTGACACCGGTTCCAAATAAAAAATTTTACTATATAATTATGTTGACAGAGATACCATTTACCTTTTTGTCGAATAATATAAATGAACTATTATTTCCAGGGCTAATCCTTTATTTTTATGCATATTTTTTAATACTGGTTTTATGCTATTACTGTGTTACGAGACATACTTTAAGATATTTTACGAACATGATTTAATAGAAACCTCCATGTAATAAATGCGTAAAACTTGGTTAAACTAATTTTGAAAAAATTCAAGTTTTAAAACGAAATTGGCAAAACTGGTTAAATTCAAATCGAAATTATTTAAACCATTTTAGGTCAATATCAAACTAGCAGATACATATGCATAACATCAAACCTAAATAGACCCCACGCATGACAATTTACCTTAATACTTAATTCTAAACAATTGCGGCTTTATACCGAATGGAGTTTTATTAATTTTTTTAAAATCATTTATAAAATTGGTGGTGATGAATATTGTTGTTCTCCTTTTAAAATAATTTCAACCTTTCTTAATAAACCAATAAGTATTATTAAGAAAAAAAAAATTAATGTCAATTGATACAAAAATTATCAAAGTTCACCAAATTCGACTGTTAAGGAGGAATGGGTTACGGATGTGCTGTTTAAGGAGCACATTATATTTAATGAATTTCATACCTTTCATCATTTAAAATACATCGGAGATGCTGCGGCTAGGGCTTATGTTGCTACTTAAAAAAATATACCATAAACCTATGCTCTTTAAACCTATAAGCTTTAACCAAACATTTACCATACAAGATCTTGTGGACGAGGCAAGTGTGTTCTTTACATAGTTCGCTTTTTATTTTCTTCGCTTAATTTTAAGTAAAGCAACATAGAAAAGTCGAGTTGCATGAATGTTGTACGGTTTATGGCATTACCAAAGAGGGTACGTCACGGAAAACAAAAGATACGAATGGCGCAGCCATTCTCATTCGTGACGTAGTACTTGTGAAAAGTTAGCATTAAGAATCCATTACCTGCCGATGAAATACCTACCCACTAAATGATAAAAAACGGAAAAATGTTAGATTTAAAAATTTAATATTATTGAAAGCGTAAGGAATTCGTGCTTAGGGCGATTGGAAGTCAGATATTAAGAGTCAGTATTAAATGAACGGCAACGTAATGATAATTACTTATCAATACGTTATAGCACTAAGGTAATATTTGTCTATAGAAATAAACTTCCTGGGAGTTCGAACCTGTAGGTCGACAATATTTCGCGAAAGATTCTTGAGCTCGTAACCAGAATGGAAAATCACTACCAATCCTTGTCAAAGCGCGAAAATATAAGAATTCGCGTTCAGATAATTTCAATAGCGAGAAGGGTTCGAATTGCACGATTTCACCGGTATGTCTATTAGGATAATAATAAAACAAAAGGGTAGATTAGTATACTAAGTATTATTGAAAGAATAAGGAATTCATGCTTAGGGTGGTTGCGAGTCAGAACTTAAGAGTCAATGTATTAAAGGAACGACCACGTAATGATAATTACTTATCAACATGTTATAGCACTGGGGTAATACTTGTCTATAGAAATGAACATCCCGGGTATATCGAACCTGTAGGTCAACAATATTTCGCAAATATTGTTGAGCTCGTAACCAGAATGGAAAACCACTACTAATACAATAAATACCTTGTCAAAAGCGCGAAGTAGTACGCATTCAAATAAATTTCAATAGCGAGAAGGGTTTAAATGGTTCCACCGGTATGCTATTAGGATGATAAAAAAAAAATATGTTAGATTAGGAACCTATGTATTTTTGAAAAAGTAAGGAATTTGTGATTAGGGCGGTTGGGAAAAAGTAAATGTATAAAAGGAACGACCACGTAAAGATAATTACTTATCAATACGTTATAGAACTGGGGTAATACTTGTCTATAGAACATCCCTTGTATATCGAACCTGTAGGTCAACAATATTTCGCGAATATTGTTGAGCTCGTAACCAGGATGGAATACCACTACTAATATAAAAAATACCTTGTCATAGCACGAAAATGTTGGAAATCTCGCTCGATAAGTTTTAGCTAAATCAGTAAGTTGTTTGGAATGTGGGGTGTTTTTTTTAGTACGTACGAGAAGAAAAAAGTATACTTAAGAGTTTGAGGGCTTTGAAGTTTCTTTTATGATAAAAAAAAAGATGAAAGAAAAAAAATGATGTAAGATCCGTTACAATTGGTATATTTTTAGTCCATCCCATATCTATTATTACTTAATTTAGCAAGTATTAAAAAATTTAAACGTGTTTTTGAGTCATCAATGAGAACCTTTTTTTTTATTATCATTGTTCTTAAGGCAACACATTTTTTCTTAAAATTCGCGGTTACCCGTTCCTTATTTCGCCATTATTTTGATGACATTTGACATTTTTTAATTTTTACTTATTATGAAATGTACTTTTTTTTTTTAAAAAAAAAAAAAAATCCTGGATCGAATTTTCTTACGACTTTACTGGGTAGTATTATTTATACGTTCCTAGTAAAATTAAATATTTAGAGAATCTAACATCCATCCCGATATGTAACGCATTATTATGCATTTCACAATTTATTTTCAATATAATGGTACTTAACAGCTAATTTCATAAGTCACGGGACAACCGATAATAACCGAGACTTTTCCGAGAACATTTATAAGGATTTGAAAAAGTCAAACACAGTTTTATATAGGTAAAAAAATTATGTCGCTATATTCGGAACAATGATCTGAACGTAGCGATAATGTTTTTTCTTCAAAAAATTCTATACCGAGTTTTACCGAGTTGGTTTTATCGATCTGCAAAATGATCGTCCGTCCCGTGACTTTTGAAATTAGCTGTAAATATTTTTAAATTAATAGTACAGTAATGCATTATAATGAGTTTTATTAAAATATCGAAAATCAAGTTCTACAAAGAAATTCGAGTGGAAACTTAAGATCACTAAAATGACCCGTTAAAGAGTCGATGAGATGTGATTAATGATTTTCGGTCCATTGAATCTGTAACAATTACAGTAGAATTTAGCCCACTTTCTTTTTTTCACAAAATATATATACGCTATTTGGGAGGTTTGTTAGGAAAATAATTAAAGAATACTTACCATCTAAATAAAAAATTTCTATTAAACAAGCCTTTGGTTTATTACTTGGCAAATGCTATATATAGGCTATAAAAAAAAAAAAAAAAGTAAGACAACGAGCGAGAGAATATATGTATATTTATAAATGAACTAAGTTAAATGTTTATTGTTAAGTGCGAGATTATAAGCGAGAATATGAAACGAGAACTGTGGAATGAAGAAAAAACCGACTTAATCTCCTAGGTAAGAGAGTTCCAGCTCCTTGCTAAAGTGCCTAACCTTTCTGAAGAATGTTTACTAACGGCGGAAAAGCAAACACAACTTGGGAATCCGGATTTCTTTAATTCTGGCCAAAATTAGAATTTAACCAAATTATCAATAACTCCGGCCATTTTTTTTTTTTATAACAAAACATAACAAATAATGAATAGTCAATATGAGTTACAAAATTTCAGTTTTTATTTGATTTTCGAATGAAACGACCGAAAAAACTAATATAGGTTAAAAATCAAATGAAAAATCAATATACTAGTTAAATAATAAAAAGGTGCTGCAATCCAATAATATGAACCCCATTAACCATAATAATATTCATATAAGAATCTTTATCATGACTAAAACTTTAAAAGTATTTTTCAATTCACCATTGACATCAAAAGGCACTTTGTAATAAAAGTCTTTTACTGACAGTTCGTTCTACTGTGGTTCCTTGTTTAATCAATAAAAGTTTGTTATAAAATAATAAAAAATTGAGAATTATCTATAATAGTATAATATACCAGAAACTGAGTCAACAAAGATTGTTCCTACTTTGAGGAAATTCGAATTAATAACTGTAGTGTGGTCAAGGTACGGTACGCAATGAAACTAAACAAAAAAGAAAAAATAAAATAGTCAATATAAAAAAAAGAAAATACAAAAAACTTAAAAAAAAAAACAACGAAATGAAAAAAAAAAGTAAAAATAAAAAAAAAAAATAAAAAAAAACAAATTAAAATAAAAAATAAAATAAAACTAAAAAAAGAATAAAAAATAGGAAACTAAACGAAACTAAACAAAAAAGAAAAAAAAATCAAAAAGTCCGGTGGAATTTAAAAAAAAAATATAATAAAATATAAAATAAAGAAAAAAAAAGAAAAAAATCAATTAAATATATATATATATACTGGGAAGGAATTTAAAAAAAAAAAAAAATTAAAAAATATTATATAAAAAAAAAAAATAAAATTACAAAAATGCGAAATTTGACATGGTCCTATAATAGGGCTTAGTTATTATAGGACCAGTACGGTATGGTACGAATTTTATAAAATCAGTCTACCATCATCGTACTGGATTAGTTATATAATTATTATACAGGTGATAAATAATATTTGCAGAAATGTTACCTAAGAGAATATTTAATTTTAGATAGAAAAATAAAGTCCATAATTTCAAAATTAAAAATAGATGTTGCATTATATATTATATTGGAATAAGCATAGACAATTAAATTATTTTTAACATCTTTGCTGGTTATTTCGGTGTTGTTGTCTACGTTGTAATTATTTTACAATAATGTATAGCAAGGTTAAAAGAAAGGATAGGATTCAAAACTGGTTTGCAGTTCAACTGACCACGTGTATGAGATGCCTTCACGGAAGCTTTTCACTAGCAACTGGCTTAACCGTCCTTGTAGAATTATCTAGTTTTAGGTCGAATGAACATCCACATTTAGTGTAAAAACATATCGAACGTTGCCGTTTCTCATTTTAACCATTATTTCATTGGTTACTGAACATCTACGAGTACGACGCACATTTTTATGCCAATTCTACAAAGGTATCTCATAATCTAACCTCAGATGAGTTTACATTTTGTAACAATTAAAAAAAATTTTTCTGTTGAAAAATAAACATTTATATATATGTTTCGAGATCGGCATAGAATCTGCCTTATCTGGTGTCTATTTGAAACTAAATTAAAGTTCTTTTATTTAGAAATAATTTAATGATAGACGATCTGTCACCTACTCAAAGGACTCCCATATCGCGCAGCCAATCCAAAAAGTCGAAAATACTAATTCAGAAGAAATATATGATTCGTAATAATTTGAGTAATTAATTAAAATTCAGAAAAAAGACCTCCAAAAATTAATAAAATAGAATTAGCCTGATTCGAATGATCCGAATAAATTCGAATGAAATTTAATTCGAATGAAATAATCTAATTCGAATCATCCTGGATTATCCAATTTTCAAATGTAACGAACGCAGATCTTAAAGAAATTGAGCAATAGAAAAGGGGGGAAAATGATAAAATTTTTTTTTTTAAATCACGTTATGGATCATATGATTTACCATGTCGTCCCATTACCTACAATTTGATTATTCAATTTATTTTCTTCTAACAAAACTTAGCACGAATTTTTTTTAAGCAGAATATTAAGCAATTTCGCATCGTAACGAATTTTTTTTAATGAAAATTTTTATTGCCGGAAAATCTATAAATTTTTATTAATTTTTTATAATAAAATTTATGTAATATTATAAATTTAATTTTTCCGGTCGAATTATCTTAATTATCCGAATTAACCCGGATTATCCGAACTTTTTATTACGATACGACTGAAATTAACTTTTAGTATATCGAAAAGTTTTATTTTTAATGAGGTAAAGGTCTTTTTTTTTTTTTTACAAAATATTGATTCAATATGCTGTGGTTAAGGCTTCTTTAAAATTTTTTTGTATTGATAAATTACGATTGAATCACTTTACAAACATATGACACGCATCAGGATCATTGGATTGGTGGTTTATAAAACTATGAAATGTGTTTATTAAAGGGTTTGAGGAAATCTTCAAAATATTTATTGGATAATATACTGCATTATTTTCAGTTTCTCCAAAATTTCATTAAATATTTTCTAGTTCTTAAAAACCATGGAAATTAAAAAAAGTTGAGTGTTCCACATAACCTAAATATGCATTTCAAAGTTCTAATGTGATACTTTGATTAGGTTCTATAATAATCTTAATAAATGCTGAGTGATATCGAGCAAGTCATTTAAACCAAATCGCATTCTGGAAGAATATTTTAGGAATAAATTGAAGTTTACATAATAATTTTTTATAATAATAAACATCTTTGAACGAGTAATGCACGATTGATTTTACTATTATCTAAACGACATTCCAATGACCGATACGTTGGGTCCTTTTGTTATATAATTTTGTTCGAGCAAAGAATGAAGTAATTTTAAAGGATTCTTAACACCTACTCAGTTTCTGTGAACATTGCATTATATTAATATAATCTTCCCCTTCTATGGTGACTTTAGCAAACATATCTTCACGATGATATTGTTTACATAATTCATGACATAATCGAGAATGGAGACAATGTTTGAGTGCTAAATGTAAGATCTATTATCTGTTATGGTTGGATTTTCAGGTGATGAATATTTGCGTCCGTCCGTTTTTTAAAGACGGACTGTTCTCAAGAGAATTATAAAAAATTTCTGTGGTTTCTTTCTTATTCGACCATAATTTGAATGTACTTGAATTCATCAACTGAGTTTTTCATACATAGTCTAAATTTGATAAGAAAGTGGATTGACTTGATAGACAAGGTTACTTTTTTTTTATGTACAAATATGGTATGGATTGCAAGCAAATAATAAAC